AACTTTGTTATTATACATTTTACAGTAATTAAATTCATATAGGGAAAATAAGAGATTTCTATGAGCAGTCAGAAATATGCCCTGGGAGGGGGAAAGAAAAATTCTAGGGCAAGCTAAAAATATAACTACATTTGAAAAATGCAAGGTGCTTTTTATTATGCATAGCAGCATTTTTATATTTTAAAGACAAACAATCTGGCAAAACATTATTTTTGTTTAAAAAAATCTCCAGTGCTGCTAAATCTTACGCTGTTCTGTAGCTGTTGTTTAGTTCAGCAAATAGTATTTGGATAGTTCCTGGTTAATATAGTACAACTCCATCATAAAGTTTCATGATTACTTTTTGCTCTTAGGTGGAGGAACGTGCAGTATACAAATTTGGCTTCTCCATTCATCTCTAGAATGTTATGCCCATTTCTATAAAGTCAATAAAAATATTCTTTTTAAAATATTAAAAATCTATTTGTTCCTACAATCTGATACGGCATAATTCAGTCCAAAGGCATCTTTAGAGCTCCTCATAACACTGGTCAAGCCACATAAATGATAAAATGAGTAAGCCATAAGACAAGAAAAATGCAACTGAGGTATAGTAAATATCAACACAGGATAACAATAAAATCAACACACCCAAAAGATCTGAGAAAATAGTGAAGGGGTTCACCTTCTCCCAAAAAGAGATCCTCTACTCCCCACCTGGGAGTAATGAGTCTAAGCAGACATATATAAAACTGCTCTGAAATGTAGTGTTAGGCGAGCTTGCCTGCAGAAACTGTTCTTCCAAGAATTGGGGTGTCTCTACTAAAAAGATTCTCTCTCTAGCCACCAACCACTTAATCATTAAAGACACCAAGAGATATTTAAATACATTGGCATGTACATATGGAATTTAATAATAGTAATAATATTGTGCCATCAAGTTAATTCTGATTTATGGCAGCCCTTTCCAGGGTTTTCTAGGTAGTAAGTACTCAGAAGCAGTTTACCATTCCCTTCTTCTGGGATATTCCTGGGACTGCAGCTTGCCCAAGGCTACCCAGGCCAGCTCTTCCAGGATGCATAGTAGGGGAATCAAACTCCCAACCTCTGGCTCAGCAGCTAGATGCCAGATGGCTAAAGATGGACATGAAACTAAACATGAACTAAAGATGAGCTTAAACAATTGTGTTACTACTTAGGGATGTACTAGTATGTGCTCCAGGGCTGGTGTAGTTGAAACATAGGCCAGTATCCTACTGGATATTTCCGCATAGGCAATTAATGTGCACAGGTATTTGTGTTATCTGGCAGTGTATCTACTGTACAAATCATTCTGCAACCTGTTGTACAATCAGTTGCCAAAGCAATTATGCAACAGTCACTTTGCACAGTGTTATTTGCACACATAGAAATCCTCAATAGGATACTGGCTTTTGCCATTATGCAAAGAAGACATATTTGAAGTGTTGGAGTATTGAGGCCATGGGAAAAAAAGGGAGAAGAACAGAGAAAACTAATTAATACATTCATTCCAACTTGACTGCTGGCATAGAAGAAAGGTATCTTTGCACCAATTTTTCTAACCATCATATCTATCTACCAAACAGTCTATCTCTTCAATAGTCATATTTCCTAGAAAAAATCCTGTTGAGTTTAAAGGAGTGATGCCTGCTGATTCCAGTAGTGTCAGGGGTGGGGATGAATCCACATCAACTTTTAGTCTGAACATTACAGGAGCTAGACAAGTGCTGAAATCTATTTCCCAAATACATTCAGTACCTTGCATAACTTTTGAAGTTCAAACTAAAATGTAGAGAGGATTTGTTGCCCTGTGACACGGAGTCATCAGCCTTCACTGGCCTAAAGGCTTCTGTTTAAGCACACATGCTTGATGCTGCACTTCAAATTACTTTAAAGGCTTTAATAGATCAGATGTCATTTCCTCATCTGGAAGCAGTGCTCCTTAAGATGAAAAGACTGTCTGTTTATTCTAATATGAACTTGTCTCCATCTGCATTTGGCAAACGAGACTGCTTTTATTTTCTAACTTGTCAGCAGAGAGATATCACAGCTTTGTTTGCATGTCTCATATCTCAGGGATATAGCACCAAAGAACTTTCATGTCTGGAGAAAAACACTGGAAAAATAAGAAATACATATTAGCCTCAACATGTGATCTGACCCTTGTTGACATGCATGCAAACATGTCGCCAGTGGAATAAACAACCACTGTGATGAGATGGTTAAAATTCTAGACTGAGTCTCAGGAGACTGAGTTTCAAGTCCCCACTGAGACATGATACTCTTGGCTGACCTTTGGCCAGCCGCTCTTAGCCAGGTCTTCCTATGAAGGTTGTTGTATAGATACGATGAGGTAAGGAGAGCCTTCTGTGCCTTCCTGAACTCACCAAGAGGAGGCAGAATATAAATGCAACAAACAAGTTGTAGACTAATGTACATATGTTGAAATAGGAAGAGATATTCTACCTCCCTGTTGTCCTATTTTGTGCAGGCGAGCATGTATGGACGTATGGGAGATTCTACCAGTAATGCAAGGATTAGGTGAGCCATTCAGACCAAACTCGGGAGGGGGGGGCATTCCTTCAGTATTTTAGGTTATGGGTGATGAGGAACTGCTGCCAAGGTTGGGTGGCGTCACTTGGGTTGGCATGATATGGGTCTACAAGTGCCATATTGGTCTACTTTGTCCCTCATATGTGTGCACGGATATATGTATTTCATAGAAATGGCAAAACTCTAGTGAAGTTTAATATTTTGCTTGTTAGTATCTACCACTGTCATATGGGAAATGTGGGTTTTTTTTGGCATGATATGAATGAGAGTGACTTTTAAAATATATATATTCTCATCAATATGTTTCATCTTAATTTATATCATGTGTTCCATCTCTTTCCAAAAATATGATTCTTGTATTGGGATATAATGAGAGTGACATTTATAGGAACTTACACTGAGTTGTCATAGAATCATGGATAGTGAAGTTGGAAGGGGCCTACAAATCCAATCCCCTGCTTGATGCAGGAATACAAATCAAATGATACCTACCAGGTGGTTGTCTAAGTTTCTCTTGAATGCCTCCAGTGTTGGAGCACCCACCACCTCTCATGGTAATTAGTTCCATTGTCATACTCCTCTAACAGTTAAGAGGTTTTTCCTGATATTCAATCGAAATCTGGCTTCATGTAGCTTGAGCCCATTATTACATGTCCTGCACTTGGGGATGACTGAAAACAGATCCTGCCCCTTCTTTGTATGAGTTCCTTTCAAGTATTTGAAAAGCCATATCATATCTCCCCTCAGTCTTCTTTTTTTCCTCAGGGCTAAACATGCTGAGTTCTTTCAGTTTTTCCTCACAGAGTTTGGTTTCTAGTCCCGTGATCATCCTTGTCGCCTTGCTCCAATTTGTCAGCATCCTTCTTGAAGCGTGGTGTCCATAACTGGGCACAATAGTTGAGGTAAGGCCTAAACAGTGCCAAATAGAGGGGAACTAGCACCTCGCAAGATTTGGAAACTACTTCTTTTAATGTAGCCTAAAATAGCATTTGCCTTTTTTTTGTAGCCACATCACACTGTTGGTTCATAGCTCTCCATTGGAACTGGCATTTTTCTCTAGGCCACCTCTATTCCCTAACACTTACCAGTCAGTATTCAGCAAAAATCAGACCTCTATTCGAATTGATTCTCATATTACAGATAACAGATGATACTGTTCACCAGTATTTGAAGGCATACCAAAACAATACTCATGTGACACGTCTGAGATAAATGAAACATAAAAGAAGCAACATTAAAGAAAGGGGAAATCCCGACTCACGATGCCAATTTATTGGGGGGGAGGGGGAATCCCCCTCCTTCTGCTTCTCCCTCTTTCCCCCCTCCCCTTCTGGAAAGGTAATGCGATAAAAGAAAAGGGTAATGCATGTAACACTTTTATGAGTGTTCTGAAAATCTAGGAGTCGAACTGTTAGATCTTTTGCTTTATTCTCTCTCTCTCTCCCTCGCCAGCTCCCTCCTTCCACTCTTTCATGTGTGTGTCTGGGCAGGTCTAACCCCCAGGTAAACGCCCTTTCTCCTGCTCCCGTTCTCTTTCCCTTGCCTTGCACCTGTCCACGTAACGCAGTGCAAAATTTCCAGGATCCGACCCTTTTCTCTCCCTCCGCACCGCCACCTCCCCGCGCCCAACTCTTGCGATTTCCCACTGGCGAGAAGTTTGAATGTTTTCTTATTCAAAAGGGAAGAAGAAAGGATAGGCGAGAGACCCCCCCACCCCCACCCCAGCCGGCATCCTGGCTTCGCGTCCACAACCTGTGTGTGTGAAGCGGGAGGGGAGGGTCAGGGCTAAGGGAGGGGGGTGTTTCCAAGGTTGCAACGTTGGAGGTGTGTGTGTGTGATTAGCTGGGGGACATTAGGAACTCCCCTTCGTCATTTCAGATCCAGGAGGAGGGAAAAGGTGTGAGGAGGGGAAGAGAAGATCGGTTTAAGATTTCAAACGCCGCATCTCTCTCGCTCTCTCCCCGGCCCGCATTGGCTTCAGTATTAGCATATGACAAAGGAGGGGGGGGGGAGAGAAGCAGAAAAGCCCCTGCCCCGAGGTATATATAGGGAGCGAGTTCTCCCACGCGCGCTGTTGTGGCGCTTCGCAGCGAGCCGTGGCCTCCCTCGACGGGCTTCTTCTGCCTTCCCAGCACGCCGCTCCTCCGAAGGCATCGGCACCACCTGCAGCGGCTGCCGATGTTGATGCGAAGCCCAGCCCAGCCCCGCGATTCCCCCGATGCCCGGGGAGAGCAGAGACTCCCAAGACAGGCAGTTGCTATCTTGACGCCCAGACCGGCTGGCGGGAGAACCTCGAGCGAGAGCACTTAAGCCGACGATCGGACTCTATACAGTCTCCCCCTCCACCTAACCCACTCTGAGCAGCCCGACCATCGCCACGAATCTCCTCTTCCTCGTCGTCGTCCGCCTAGTGCTCCTGCCACACTCCCACTTCGTCGGGCTGCTTCATGGCTCCCTTAGCCGAAGTCGGGGGCTTCCTGGGCGGCTTGGAAGGCTTGGGCCAGCAGGTGGGCTCCCATTTCCTCCTGCCTCCGGCCGGGGAGAAGCCGCCCCTCCTAGGCGATCGCTTGGCCCAAGGCGAGAGGGGCTCCCGAGGGGCTGCCGCCCCCGCTGCCGGGGCCACGGAGCTCGCCCACTTACAGGGCATCCTGCGCCGGAGGCAGCTCTACTGCAGAACCGGCTTCCACCTGCAGATCCTGCCCGACGGCAGCGTCCAAGGCACGCGGCAAGACCACAGCCTTTTCGGTAAGGCGCCCCTCTCAGGCCGGCTCTGTCTCTCTGTCTGTCCTCCCGCTCAACCCGTCTGCTCCTTCCTTCCTTCCTTCCTTCCTTCCTTCCTTCTCAGGGTGCGTCTTTTCTGCAGCTTCTTTTTCTTCCTCTTCCCCTTGCAACGGAAGCATCCTATAGCAACAGATGGTATAGCAACGGATCTCCGGTTGGGAATTATTATTATTATTTTTTAAAAAAGAATAACATCATAAACATTTAATCCCAGCTGCAGGTGGACACCATCTTCCAGCCATGTTCCAAGGGGCAGAAGATGGAAATAGGAGCGCAATAAAATTGGGGAGGGCGGAAGTAAAACAATAACACTAGCATCTCTTTCCAAGGCTTAATTTGAGGCCAGGCACAACTCTACTGAAAAAATCCTGGGGGACGGCTGCGGGGGTGAGATTAACAGAGATTGTGTGATTTAGAGCATGGGCAGAGTGCCTTTTTTGCATCATGGAGAACCATTTCACACACTGTTGCATGCAGGAAGAGGGGAATGGAAAAGTTCGTATTGGATGTACGGATTGTTGCACCTGACAAATTTCTAAGCATATGTGAAGCTGTTCTCATGTGCGCTTGGAAACGATGGCTGAACACAGCTTTCCATGTCACCAAACATACATTTGCAGTAATTTCCCAAATTTGCTTATTCAGACAGAAGTTGTGTGCTATTTCCAACATAGAGGTAGTTCTAACATTGAAGTACCTAGTTATTTTATGCACATGAGGGCTTCCAGGTTAGAAGGTGCCTTCGGTTTTGGAAACCAAGCACTGCATATTTGCTAAGTCAGTAGCTATGCTTAAGTGTAATTGTACATAGAGAGCATCTGAGCCTTAATACAGAGTTATATGCAGTTGTACACATTCCTGTACATGAGGGAGGAAGAGGAGGAGGAGGACATGCCAATTTCCACTACCGTCACTTCTCCAGTGGGTTTAAAGAAAAAAAGTTGATGTGAGCTTTACCCTCACTAATGGTTTTGCATGCAGCTAGGTTCTGATGCACTGCAGAGGCAAACATGCACAAATAGATGGATACAAGCTGGCACCTTGCACAAAGTGCTTTTTCCAAATGAAACTGCACTGAACTTAGTATGTATGTGCAACACATTGATATCTCCAGCATGCCCAGAGATATGTAGAACCCCCACTCTACTCCACTCTGCCTAGAAGTCTTGCATCAAAATAAAATGAGCATATGAAAGCTATGTGAACTGAGTGTTGTGTTCCTGCCAAGCATTTCTGTCAGTCAGCAAGGATCAGATTGGGTTGGAGATAATTGTATTATTCTCATAACAGCTCTGTTAGGCTTCTGCTATATCAATCTTTCTTTTTCTTTCTTTCTTTCTTTCTTTCTTTCTTTCTTTCTTTCTTTCTTTCTTTCTTTCTTTCTTTCTTTCTTTCTTTCTTTCTGCCTTTCTTTCTTTCTGCCTTTCTGCCTTTCTTTCTTTCTGCCTTTCTTTCTTTCTGCCTTTCTTTCTTTCTTTCTGCCTTTCTTTCTTTCTTTCTTTCTGCCTTTCTGCCTTCCTTTCTGCCTTCCTTTCTGCCTTTCCGCCTTTCTTTCTGCCTTTCTGCCTTCCTTCCTGCCTTCCTGCCTTCCTGCCTTCCTTTCTTTCTTCCTCTTTCATTTTTTCTTTCTTTTGAGTTGAAACCTTCCAGAAGCTCTGATGAATCTGCGCCATTCTTGCTGAGGCCAGTGGAAGTTATACTCCAAAACATTTGGAGAATATCTTGTTGGAAAGCCTGCACCATATACCTATTTTGCTAACTGAAAACAGAAGTTAAGAGATTGTGACTTGGCCAAGGCTAGGGAGTTCATGGCAGAGCAGGTTCTTATCAGCTCCCCACTTCAGATGTACTAGATGCATTGAAGTACAGTTTCCACATGATCCCAGCCAGCATGGTGACTACATATTCTGGCTGGGGATGATAGGCAGTGTAACCCAACAAATCTGGAGGCTACCAGGTTGGGGATGCCTTGGGCATCCCAGACCCACAATCTGAGATTCTGGTAGCCACTAGATTGCCCTGTTGCTTAGGTTACAGCTGTGAACTAGTAAGAAAGGTGATTTAAGCACAGGAATAATGGGTTGTGGATTGTTGGAAACACAACCTTGTCAGAAGAACTCTCCTTTTCTTGACAAGTGGCCACTGGGGGCTTTGTATATGAACAGCCATCAAGGGGGACCAAAGAGGATTTCTATTGGGTTTCCCAAGTTAAAACAACCTGTTGCACAAGGCTCTTAACTGATTTACAGCACACTGAAAATGCCAGTGTTTTCAGAGCGAAAGGAACTTTAGTTCAACAGAAGGCTCTGCATTGAAGGGAAGCTTCTTACACCATGTAAACATGGAATAATTACGAAAAAGAAAAAAAAGAGAAAGAGATTTGAGATTGAGATCAAACATTCTTGGTGCCTCTTTATTCTATTGCCATTCTCAATAGGTTTGTCTGATGTGGTCTCTTTGTTGATTGAATCACCTGCCTATTATGATTTGGGGGGTGGGTGGGAGTGTGGAGTCTGTCTTTGAAAATGATATTAGAAAGACTGAATACCTCCCATGTCTTTCAGTGGGACTTTGAATATTGGGAACTCCAACATCACTGATGATTTATTTGCAGTGGAAAGATTGATTATCTGATCTCTGTAAAAGATTTGGCTGGGCTGCCATGTCATGTTACACACCAGGACCCCCAATGATTTTTATTAAAACTCCAGAGGCTGCAAAACATTGTATGTTCATTATCTTTCTTTGGAGGAAAAGTAATTCAGAAAAGAAAACACTGTTGATAACTATGTAAGAGATATTCAAACCCATGGCTAAAATCAGCCGTGGCACTATTTCAAAGAAAATATATATATATATATATATATCAGTGTATGGTTTCTTTCCAACAATCCAAATATTTGATCACAGTTATTATTTAACAGGGAATACCATGATCCGGGCAAAACTGCACTTCCAGGCTTCAAAGACTACAACATGTTTAGCTCTCTCATTGAAATCAGTGGGATGTCAAAGTATTTAATTTTGGCTGGATCATACCCAGTACATGGAATGTGATTACTGAGGGCTATGTATTTGTATAGTGTTGCTGCCTATGCTTCATCAGAGTATTACAGTGATATTGTTAACAGAATGTGTCTTCTGCCTCTGGTTTTATTTTATATATTATGTTTTGATACTAACATGCATAATTAAAATTAATATTCAACCTTTGCCTTTTGTTTTAACACAGGTATCCTTGAATTCATCAGTGTGGCAGTGGGATTAGTCAGTATTCGGGGAGTAGACAGTGGTCTTTACCTTGGAATGAATGAGAAAGGAGAGTTATATGGCTCTGTAAGTATTACCATAATATTTCATGACTCATGCTATATAACTACAGTGCGTTTTGATCCTCCTGAATCATGTTTATCACTCAGAATGTTGCCACTGGTGACAGGGAAAGCTGGAGTGCATGCCTGCATTATTTAGTTTTAGTAAAAAAGTTAAAGTACTAATCTAGGTAGCGCAGAGACCACATAGATCTCCCATGGTTATTTTTGCAACCTCTGTATCTGCTAGCCACCCAAAGTAGACTTGTGTCTAGATGGGTGGGGTATAAATGAATGAATGAATGAATGAATGAATGAATAAATAAATACTTTCTCAACAATGTGAAAAAATAAACCTATAAACAGCAGTTTTTATGTAAAACTGGTGTTACTTAAATCCCCCAAGGTGTCGAATTAAAACTGGTGGTTTTTTAAAAAAAACAAAACATAATGTAACATTTCTGGACCTTTTGCTCCGCATTGATGCTCCCTGGCCTGAACTGTACAATAACACAAGGTACAAAGTCTCTGTGATGATCCCGCATGGTTATAATCTGATGCCATGTGCTTAATGCCTAATTATATAAGACAATGAGCCAAATCCAAATAGAATAGACAAGTCGAATCAATGGAATTTGCATATTAATATGCATTTTGTGGGCTCAGTTGAGTCGGGACTAAATGATTCAGTAGTTTTCAAGCCCCATTTGAAACATATCAAGCATTTATCAATGGGAAGATCAATGAGAAACATACGGAGATCGATTATCCTGCATTAGCTAATTTGTCCACCTAGTTCCGTATTATCTGATGTAGGGGTGAGGAATGTTCCCAACCCTTGGTCTCATGCTGGCTGTAGCTAGCTGTAGCCTTCATTTTCTTTTATGTTTTCTTTCCCAGTATCTGCTATGTGATCCATTTCATGTGTTTCAAGCTGCCTTTCAGTTTCCCTGAGGAGGTTCACAATATAGATCTTACAACTCAATGGAACAAGATTAATAGAATGTTAGATTGCTTTTAAATGTGAGAATGAACCGGTTAAAGGCAAGCTAGACTCTATGTTTGCCACATAGTTTGCCCTTGAGAAATTGTGTGTCTCTTCCGCAGATAGATAGAAATCAGGGAAGAGGAAAACATCCTTTTTGCGACCACAGCATTCAGAACGCCCCATTCTGAATGGAAGCGGTAGTGGTCCAAAAGTCCTGAGGGAAAACTGAAGTTAATCCAATCTTTATTACGGTCATTGACCAGTGTAGAAGTTATTTAGTAGCCAATCTTTCCTTACAAGTCAGTTAATGCAGGAGCATGGACTACTTTGTAATGAGGCTTACTGCTCCATTGGGATTCAGCAGGTGGAAATCTGTGATATTTCCTTTATTTCTTTGATAATCCTTTAAAGAGTGTGAGTCTTTTATTAAAGCAATGCCTTTTCTTATATACCATTACTTTATTGTAAACATGGAGGGGGTGTACTTCCAAAGAAATCCATTCATTATCCCACCATTCTTATTTACCTCTGCTGTTGAGGTAAAACACTAACTCTGCTTGTTCTGCTATGCAAGTGCCTCACAAAGAAAGCCATTTTTGGGATTCATGTTTCTTACCACTTTCTCCTTTTTATTTTTTTCCTCATAGGAGAAGCTCACTCCTGAATGCATCTTCAGGGAACAGTTTGAAGAGAACTGGTATAACACTTATTCCTCCAATGTATACAAGCATGGGGATTCAGGTCGGCGGTATTTTGTAGCTCTTAACAAAGATGGCAGCCCCAGGGATGGAGCAAGGTCCAAAAGACACCAGAAATTCACTCATTTCTTGCCCAGGCCAGTAGACCCTGAAAGAGTGCCTGAACTTTACAAGGATGTGTTAATATTCACATGAAGCCAGACAGAGGACAAGAGTGGAATTGTAGCTTCAACAGTCTCAAAAGCAGGAAGAACATCTGAATGCTGAGGAATTACTGGGACCAAGAAAGCCAGGAATCAGTGGAGCTGTGTAGCGATAGACAGGCCTCCATGCCTAGTCTCTGGATTTAGGAGAATGAGGCCTAAAGGCAAGAAGGCCCACCTCTTTTGGTCACCCTTGTGTTACTTGCATAGACAAGAAGCTGGAACTGGATTTAAAACCAGACTGCTCTGGATTATTTCCTCCTTTACAACTACCTAAAGGTGTGTGGAGCTGGATCATAGAAAGCTAGAAATGTCAAAGCAAAGAATAAATGACAAACTAGTAAAACAAAAAACAAAATAAAACAAAAACCACCCCAAAACAACTAGCACTGAAGAGGACCAGCAACATGAAGTTGCAGTGACTGTGTGTGAACCTGAAAGTGAAACTTTGGACTTGCTTTCCTCTTCAGGATGGACCTAATTTATAAACTAGCAGAGCACATATATTTATTTTAAATATTTATTTATTGCAGAGTTTATTTTTTACTGGGCCATGAAGAGAGTACAACTTTTCACCCTGATAAAATCATTTCTGTGCCAATATTTACTCCAAGGTAGTATCATGGTGCAAGAAAATGAACAGAGCAGACATCGCCCCCGTAGTACAAATAAACTTCCCTTGGATATCATCATTATGAGGTGATTTGGGCTCTGTTTATATGCACACACTATTGCCTGCTGAATAGCCTTAAAAATAACAAAAATCTTGGTTGCCTTATAATCTATGGGACAGCACCCACTCCATTTTGTACTGAATTAAAATGCACATTCAAAAGGGAATTAAAGATATAATTGTATCTCTTGGTTTAACTGTCATTCTTTAAGACCATTGCATCCTAATGGCTTACTCTGGGGGTAGGGGGCAGGAGGAAAGGAATTACATTGGGTTTACATTGCATGTGGCTATTGAAGCATTCTCTGTGTTAGGTGTTTGTGAGAAATGGGGGGAAAATGGAAGAAAAAAGGTGGCCTCTGTTGATAGCACAGCCATACTTATGATGAGATACAAGAGAGAGAAGAATCACTACAACCACTCTTGAAAGCTACTGCTTTGTGTTTTCATTTTGAACCGGAGGGGGCGCGCGGTTAGAGTCCCACTGTGAAACACAGCTTCCAACTGTCTATATCTCTTTGGTGCTGCTTCTGAAACATGAGATAGTAGCCCATTGAGTTTAGTAGTTCATGTGACTATCAATTCTAAACATACTAATTAGTATTTCATGATCGATTTCATAATGTTTTCAAACAAAGTTTGTTGTGTGCTGTCAAGTCACCTCTGATCCTACGAATGAACACTCCAAAATGTCCTGTTTTCAACTGCCTTGCTCAGCTCTTGTAAACTCAAGCCTGTGGCTTCCTTTAGAAAGTTAATCCATTTTGTATTTGGTCTTCCTGTTTTCCTTCCACTTTCCCCAGCATTATTGTCTTTTTCCACAGAATCCTGCTTTCTCATGATGTGCCCAAAATAAGACAGTTTCAGTTTCAACATTTTTTGCCTCAAGAGATAAAATTTGGTTAAATTAAACATTAAACAGCAGTGCCTCTGCTGCGGCCTCTTATCTCCTAGGCCTGAAACAGTGGACCATGTCTCCCATCAGTTTTCATGTTTGTGCTGCCTTTTTCCTAGCAAAGGGGCCCAAGATAGCTCACAAACTATTAAAAAACAAACTAATTAAAACACAACAAACTGTTTAGATTAAAAAACAAACATACAGTAGTATTAAAACTCTTATGAAAAATCCATGAAAACATACATAAAATAATGAAGTCCGGCACGCAAAATCAACTGCTCAACTACTTCCTCTTCCCTTCCGGGGGGGGGGCATCTTATTTAGGGTACATCTAGTGGTTCTTTGATGTTTTTCCACCTCTTCTCTTTTAAGTGGAATGCAAATGAAAATAAATGTTAAATATATAGTTTTTCAAGAGTTGCCAGGATCAGCCAACCCTGCTGGGCTGGGGTATGATGACATTCTTCTGCTCCATTCTGCTTTCTCATTTTATCTTTAACAGAATCTCTTCTCTGGCAGTCCTCCTTTCTATGCTATCCTTTGATATGTCCCTGCTCAGTACATGATAAAGTTTCCCTCTTGGTTTCATCAAGTGAACGCTATCTGCTGTGCATTTAAATTTATGGTGTGGACTGGTGTTTTCTTTTGTTTAAGTGCCTTCTATTTGTGTCACATTTGTTGTCCAGTGTCCATCTGTACCTGATATAATTGTGGGTTATCTCGCTGTATTGCTGTTGTCTTGTACCAGATTCTGTCACGTTGTGCTAAAGGCTGAATCCTCACTGTGCCCCTGGCTCTATGCCTGCATAATCTCTGACTGATTTTTTTAAAGGGGCTCTGTCTCTCTTGCTTCTGCCTCTGTAATCCTTCTGGGGACCCCTTGTGAATCCAGGCTCCGACAACCTCCAACTTGGACAGTTCCAGGAAAGGAATCAGAGAACACTCGAGAGGCCCTTTCAATTTTTTTAAAAAAAGTTTGTGTTCTTTTTCCATAATGTTCAATGTTGTTCTAAAACTCTTCCAGATTAAAAATAGTTAATATGCTATAAGAATGAATTCATTTTTGGAACTGAGATTTTCACAAATGCTGCTTTAGGAACCTAGGAGAGCCTAGAGTTGTTATTAGTAGTATTGTCAAGAAAAACCGCACTTGGTTATCCAGCATCTCCCACCCCATGCCTTACTATAGGCAGAGTCTGTGAAAAGACAACTGTAGTGCTAGTCTACTGTAGCCTTCCCTTCCCTTCATCCAAAGGTTTTTTAATGGCACAGTGGGTGTAGTTACAGCTATTCTCAGTGGATTGACATCGGAGACATCTGAGAATTCAGTCTGGAAGTTTCCAGTGTAAGGTTTGGCAGTTTGAGGCAAGAAAAAGCAGAAGATGGCATTTCCCTCGTCACAACATGTGTACATTCCACCACCACCACCACCATCATAATCTCAGAAATGCAGAACTAGAAGGAACTCCATTGATAATCAAATTCAGCCCCTGTCAAGGAGTTACAGTGAGGAACTGAGCTCCCAACCTCTGGCTTTGACTTCAGTCTCCTGAATATCAGTAGGATTTTGGCATGCCTTGAGTGCAAACTGAGTCCATTCAGATGAACACCAAAGGTGTATGGAGCCAATTTGAATCTTCTCTTGCTAAGCTAGAAGAGGGGAAAGGGTGGCCTGTGAACCACACGTAGTCTCCATAGGCATTTTTGTGTAAAAGGCCACCTCAGAGGCTCCCCACTAACTTTATTAAAGTCTTCCTTTAGTAGGGTCCAGAAAGAATCTGGCTTTTGAGATAACCAACCTTGTCCATCCCTTTGTTAGGTACTTGTGTAGATAAGTAACATTTGAACTTTCAAATGATGGATACAAAATCTAGACGTTAATAGGAATGCATATTTCCTCTGATGCATCTGTTTCCCCTCCCACAATGGGATTTTCTCAGAGATACGTGCCAGAGTAATTGAAGCAGTTAATTAAGCCCTTCCCATGACCAACCACAAAACAAACCATGCTAAATGCAAAACATATACTGTAGGTTAGAAAATGAGGTACTATGACAAACAGATGCCTTTCACTATTTGAGGGAGCACCGCTTCCAAAACAGGGCCAAACATATTGTCTAGTGTGTCCCAAGGTCAGCAGTAATTCCCATGATCTCCACAGCATCTCCCCTACTCTGTCCATGGGAATTGTTGATGCATATTTGTGATCCACAGTTGATAGATTAGAATCTTCTGCCAGATCACATACCTTGCAATGGTTGAGAACATTCCATGCAACAAATGAACCAGCCAGCCTCCCAATGAGAGTGTAGTATGTGAACAGACCACACTTTTCTCCAGAGTCGTATGCTGTGTGTCTTGAAACAGACATAGACCTTTTCTTTTTATACTTTCACAAGCCAGAAAAGTAAATGACACAGGACAGTTGTGCTTACATCTGAGAGTTCTGAGCTGCAGACTTTGAAAGATTTCAGCCTTGTCATAATTTGGATGGGTTGTGAGAGAAATCATGATGCTATGCATGATTTGCCCTACTTACGGTGTCATCAATTAAGGGAGCATGTTCAGTGCTACTCTTCTTTATACTGGAGCCAGATGGTGTCATTTGCTTGCCTGACAATCTTTGGGTGCTGGATTTAGGCCAGCTGGCTTTGTCCCAGTATGCATGAGATAGTGGTGATACTAATGGACAGAGGAAAAGCATTCTGAATAGCTTGCCAAGCCTCCGACAGCATGCTAAGCTTGCAAAAGCTCTATGAGACAAGAAAACCTGCCAAAATGCTCTTTTCCCTTAGTGAGTCAAAAGCTATTGGATCTGGAGTCCTCTCCTATATACGTTTATAAAAAAACTAATCAGAGCTTGGGGATACAACCTTTTGGAATATTACTCCAAGAATCTGCCAACAAGGATGGCCAGTGGCAAGACTGGCTGGTGAAATTATGTAATGAGACTCTGGTAGCTGTAGTCCAGGAAGTGCCTTTCCAAAATTCTGGCTAAGAGCCACTCTACACTTTATGAAGGATTAGGATGGAAAGCAGAGTGAAAATTCTGGATGGTACCATTTCAGATGGAGAGGTTATTCAGGGAGCAGATGCTGGGGAATGGACAAGTCAATGGACATCCTCTGTTTTGTTTTGTTTTGTTTTGTTTGCCCCTGTTGTCTGTTGCACAAATGACTGACCTATTATCTGAAAGGTATGTGTGACACATTGTTTTTAATCTGAAGTGGCACAGACCATAATTTCACCGCCTGTTCTACATCTGTACACAAGCTGGCCTTATGCCCTCAGGCCTGGGGACGTTGTCTCTCTGCCAATGTTGAAGTAAGATTCAACTGTTAGCCTGTCAGTTTCTGTACGTGAAAGGGAGGAGGCACCATTTCGTCCTTTCACTGAGGTAGTAGGATGTCTCGGCCAATCCTGTTCACTCATGTGATAAACCATCACATGGA